TGCAAAAATTGCTAAATATATTGAAAAAGGTTGCTTCATGAAAATTACTTTCTTCATGTAAACCTTTCAATCCCAGTATAGAAATCAACAGCAGTACCTTGAGCTACAAATGAGTTCAACAAAAATGAGTCAGTAGTGAAACTCTTATACAGAAATTGTACAAGTGCCATCAATCAAATGATCTCAGTTATGACTTTAGGCTCCATTGAAATGGCAAGTTTCCCTCAATATTTTTTCATGGACATTGCACAATTCAGGAGGTAAAGCAGGTTATATCTGTTGATAAAATTAATAGGTGAATGTCTCAGTGGTCCTTCCATTAAGCAGACTTGAAGAATTGCTTGTCTGTCATGAAACCCATCTTTGGTAGGAGTCTGTAAATGGGAAACCTTGGATTTGGATTGTTCCATCCAGCCAGAATGAATATATATCAATGTAATAGAAGTACTTTGCCATTTATTTCATACTGGATAAGTTATCATGGTTTGCTCTGACCATAGAGTATCTGAGCGGACATATTCTCTGTGGGGCTTCATGGCAACACATGCAAACGATTATGTGAACCCATTGTATGTGGCCGAGACTGCCAAAAACTACCTTTTGCAACCCTGTGTTGCCCCTCAGGCCCTAAGGTGAGATGTTCCTTCCCTGTTCAATTGATTTCCCCAAATTTGAGTGGATTAGAAATGCTTTTGTGCTGTTTAGATTTTGGAGAGGCCTTTACACCCGGTTTGAGGCTGGAGTTCACCCACGAGACAACCTGGATGACATCGTGAGCTCTCTGGACCAGCAATGCACCTGCCTTGAGGAACACACCAAACTCTTAAACAAGGTGAACATCTTATAAGGGTTTTCTTTAGAAGTTGAATATACCTAACCCACAAGTGTTGCAAGTGGTGATGTTTCTTCTATGAATTTACAGAGAATATCAATGCTCAAGGATCTCTTGACAAAGTACAAAGAGACCAAAAGTGCAAGAAAAGGCACTGTTGAACGGGAGTCCAAGGAAGAGAAGAATGGTCTTGTACTGGTAAGTTACCACATTTAAGGAGTGTGATGGAAGAATCTGACTACCCACAAATGTATCATTTTCAGAAATTGTGGCCTCATGGCAATATTCATGAACCATCTTTAATTTGATGAGAACTTTCTGGATAGCTTGATATATTCCCTTCACAAAAAATGTATGTGAAAATGATCAAAGAGCTCAAAATTTGTACTGGGTAGGTATTGCAATGCAATCATTTGGGTTGAAAATTATTATTTTTTTTTAAGAATCCCCAGAATTAATATATAATGTATACCATGAATGTAGAATGCAAGTGGGTGATGAAGGGCTAATGCCCCAGCAGATGACAGAAAATGCTCTTGATGCATTGATTCTTGTACTTTTTCTTTTGGATATGAAGGGAGCAAATCCCCCATCTCTAAAAGCTGGTGAGCAGCTTACAGGGGAACAGCTAGCAATGGAGCTGAGCTCTGTGTCTCTTGATTGGAAATCCCTGCGAAATGTGACCCAGTGCTCCTGTTCCACTGCCTTTGACAATCACAGCATCAAGGTCAGTTCAGTAGGGTAGTTGTCACTTCGGTAGTTTGAACAATGTGATTTGATGAATTCTTGTCGACACTGCTTTTGGGCTGACTTGGTACCATTCCATATTCTTGTTACACTTCTCAGTTGCTAGCAAATGAGATTTTGAAATTAAGCTGAGTGATCTTTTTTCTTTTTGGATCACTGTAAATGAAATGTTGCTTGCATGTCTTGCTTTGTTTTTGCCTTGCCTTAGTATCACAAGAAGGTTTCATGGAAGTAAAAAGAAGTGATAGGACAAATGAAAGCTGTTTGATGTGTTTATTGATACGTTTAGATCCAGCATTCGCATATCGGATCGGTGGAGAAGCTGAGCCTGAGCACGAGCGGCTGCCCGCTGCACATCCGCTGCAAGACCTTCCTCATCGTC